GAGAGAGAGAGAGAGAGAGAGAGAGAGAGAGAGAGAGAGAGAGAGAGAGAGAGAAAGAGAGAGAGAAAGAGAGAGAGCGAGAGAGGGAGAGAGAGCGAGAGAGAGAGAGAGGGAGAGAGAGAGAGAGAGAGAGAGTAAGAGAGAGAGCGAGAGTAAGAGAGAGAACACCATCCGTAACGCGAGGTGTGATACAGCAACTTCTACACGACGCCTCGAAAAACCCGCGCTTAAACGCCGCGCTTAAAAATCCGCGCTTGAAAACTCCGCGTTAAAAACCCGCGCATGAAAACGCCGCGTTTTTGCCTCGTCTTAGACGCAGCTATTACATATGCTTCGCTTTTACCATGTAACTCAGATAGTCAGTAAGGTCATGAGTTACTGATACATTTGGTATCAGTAGCTTTTGCTAACGTACAAGTCTCTAGTGCTAGAACGTAGTAGAATACTAATTAGTCACCACGCATGATAGATTGTTCGTTAAAGTCGTAGTAGCACTGATTAATATAATGATTCCACTTTCGTAATAACATTCTTTCGTCCTAATTCTCCGCTATCTTCTCTTCTAATTTTCTTTCATCCGTCTCCTCTACCTTTCCTACTATCTCCTCGACTACTAATTCTTTTATGTCCTCTACTCTATCTCCCACTTTCTCCTCCGCTATGACTCCTCCATCTAGGGCGTGGCCATCGCTAGGTGGCGTCTCGCTCTGGACTTGTAGATGCGTGACAAGGACAAACGGCTCCTCGGTGACGTCACCGGTCTGTTACAATGTGCTGCGTTAGTGGCAGAACGACTAACGACAAAACGCACGCGCAAAAATAAACAAAAAACAACAACAACAAATAAAGACTATGCGTCTACACAGTGAAAGAACCAAAATCCAACGTGCTAATGTCAGTACTACAGAAAAATCGCATAGGTAGATGAGAAGGTGGAAGAGAAGATAGCGGAGAAGGTAGAGGAGAAAGTGGAAGAGAAGATAGCGGAGAAGGTAGAGGAGAAAGTGGAAGAGAAGATAGCGGAGAAGGTAGAGGAGAAAGTGGAAGAGAAGATAGAGGAGGAGGTAGAAGAGAAGATAGAGGAGAAGGTGGAAGAGAAGATAGCGGAGAAGGTGGAAGAGAAGATAGCGGAGAAGGAGGAGGAGGAGGTAGAAGAGAAGATAGCGGAGAAGGTAGAGAAAGAGGCAGCAGAGAAAGTAGAAGATAAGATGGATGAAAAGGTAAAGGAGAAGGAAGAAGAGAGGATAGAGGAACAGATAAAGGAGAAGGTGGAGGAAAGAGTAGAGGAAAGGGTGGAAGAGAAATCGCCAGAGAATGAAGAAGAAAAACTAGAAAAAAATAAAGAAGAAAATGTAGAGAAGAAGGCAGAAGAGAGAGTAGAAGAAATAAGAGAGAAGGTTGAAGAGAAGGTAGAAGAAAGGGCAGAGAAGGAGGAGGAAAAGGTAGAAGAAAAGGTTGAAGAGAAGGTAGAAGAGAAGGTAGAAGAGAAGGTAGAAGAGAAGGTAGAAGAGAAGGTAGAAGAGAAGGTAGAAGAGAAGGTCGAAGAGAAGATAGAAGAGAAGGTAGAAGAAAGGCAGAGAAGGAGGAGGAGAAGGTAGAAGAGAAGGTAGAAGAGAAGCGAGTTGGTTCACTGGCAGCGCACATCGAGACATCAACAACCGAGAAGGTAAATCATCTCTAGATAGATAGACTCTAGCTCTAACAGCCGGGGATCTATATTATTATTATTATTATTATTATTATTATTATTATTATTATAGGGTCATCTAATTATAGATTCGCATACGTCTTTCCCTTTCTTTCATACTATTAATCTTATTATTTATTATAAACACGAAGAGTGTTTTATAGGTAAAGCTAATGATATATTAGGATCGCAGGAAATCATGTTGAATAGCGTGTTTTTCCCGTCATTATCACTCGTCATATGTTCTCGTCTTACCTTGTGTATTCAATCACGCGGCAGTTGATAACAGCAGCAGCAGCAGCGACGGCAGCGACAACGTCAACATTAACTGAAAATATTCCACCCCGCTACAGTCATCGTGGCAGAGTAAGCACACCGTCCTATCTTTACGGGCAAAGTCGCTCGCAATCAACGCAAAACAACAAGTCCTTCAAACAAGATCACACACATAGCATATTTATTCATTCTTATCGCATTTAGAGAGAGAAGGGAGATGGTGTGACATTTCCTCAGTTTTCTTCCCACACAGTCGCGTATCGACACTTGCGTGAACTAGAATTTTTTTATCGTCTTTTGTTTATACGATGATTAGATCAGAGGGTCAATACTGCTGCACAGTTCGAATTAATCGATTGAAGTTGTCTAGTTGTGCTTGTCAGTACAGCACTGCCTAGAGGGACTAACACATTCCTCTCTGATCATGGGAATTGTTTTAAGGTTATGGTTAGGGATTGGTGTTTGGTTGTTTAGTCACGTAATGCAAACCCTAAATCTACCATAGCCCTAAACCCATCCCTAACCACATATCTAAGCCTAGCCTTAAACCCTCACCCTGAACCCATCCCTAACCACATTTCTAAGCCTAGCCTTAAACCCTCACCCTAAACCCATCCCTAAGCCTATCCCTTACCCTCACTGGCGCCCACAGGTCTTAAGAAAGTAGAAGCACAGAAGGATAAAATCCTCAGTGATAATAAAAAGCAGGCGCGCTGCATGCTAGGGGGGTCTGGGGGCATGCCCCCCTAAAAAATTTTGAATGGTAGACGTCTGGAGATGCAATCTGGTAAGTCTTGCGTGAGAAATTTAGGAACAAATTGTACGAACAAAATTTTTTAATCCAAAATTTACTGGAAGCACTGCTCTTTCAGTGCTTTTATCTGCGGGCGCCACTGCTTACCCTAACCCTAACCCTAAACCCATCCCTAAGCCTATCCCTTACCCTATCTCTAAGCCTATCCCTTACCCTATCTCTAAGCCTAACCTTATACCCAATTCTAAACCAATCCCTAAGCATATCCCTGACCCTAACCCTAACCCTAACCTTAAACACAACGCTCACTTTATTACTGATTCCTAACCGAATCCTAATCCGCCCTTGATCTATTCGCAAGGCTAGCTGTTATGTCAGCCATCCTGCTACTATATCTACACTTCCCGCCTCCATGTTTCTCCCCCGTCCGTCTGCACCTCTTCATGGCCAAAAATTCTCTCTCGCTTTCCTCTTTTATGCGCTCCTCTGTCTTATCAACTCTTTTTCTTTGTATATCTTTCCCCGCTTCCATCTTGTCACGCTCTCTTCCTCCACTCTCTCTCCCCTTCTCTCACCCTCCCTTCTTCCCCCTCTCCCTCACCCATCTCTAATATCTCTTTCTTTTTCCCTCTCCCTGCAGCACACCATCGTACTGGGTGTGGAGTTCGCTCCCATGCACATCCCACCCGAACACCAACTACGAGCCTCCCTTTCTCCTTCTCTTTTCCTCCCCCTCTCTCTTCCTCGCCCCCTCTCTGTCACTCCTCTCTTATATATTGCTCTCTCACTCTCCCTGCAGCACACCATCGTACTAGGGGTGAGGTTCGCTCCCATGCACATCCCGCTGGGGCGTCATATATACCACTAAACGTGTCTCCCTTCCTCCCCTCTCTCTTCTTTCCTCTCCAACTCCTTCTCCTTCACATCCTCTCCCCCTCTCCCTCACCCATCTCTAATATCTCTCTCCCTCTCCCTGCAGCATGCGACCGTGATGGGCGTAGAGTTCGCTCCCATGAACATCCCGCTGGAGAGGCGTCTTCAGACAGCCGCCGTCATCCACATCGTCGCCACCTTCATGTTCGCCAGCTTCGGCAGCATCTTCTTCTGCATCTACCTGCTGCTCTGCACGCGCTACTGGTGGCTGGTGCTCATCTACATAAGCTGGATGCTGTTCGACCGCGACTCGTGCAACCGCGGCGGCCGCCGCAGCGAGTGGGTGCGAAACTGGCCGATGTGGGCGTACTACCGCGACTACTTCCCGATCACGTTGCGACGGACGGCGGAGCTGGATCCGAATAGGAACTACGTGTTTGGCTACCACCCGCACGGGATCATGGGGGTGGGAGCGTTCTGCAACTTCGGGCTGAACGGGAAGTATTTCCTGGAGAAGTTTCCCGGGATTAAGCCGTACCTGCTGACGTTGGAGGGACTCTTCTGGTTCCCGTTAGATAAGAATGAATAAATATGCTATGTGTGTGATCTTGTTTGAAGGACTTGTTGTTTTGCGTTGATTGCGAGCGACTTTGCCCGTAAAGATAGGACGGTGTGCTTACTCTGCCACGATGACTGTAGCGGGGTGGAATATAGAGAGAGAAGGGAGATGGTGTGACATTTCCTCAGTTTTCTTCCCACACAGTCGCGTATCGACACTTGCGTGAACTAGAATTTTTTTATCGTCTTTTGTTTATACGATGATTAGATCAGAGGGTCAATACTGCTGCACAGTTCGAATTAATCGATTGAAGTTGTCTAGTTGTGCTTGTCAGTACAGCGCTGCCTACAGGGACTAACACATTCCTCTCTGATCATGGGAATTGTTTTAAAGTTATGGTTAGGGATTGGTGTTTGGTTGTTTAGTCACGTAATGCAAACCCTAAATCTACCATAGCCCTAAACCCATCCCTAACCACATATCTAAGCCTAGCCTTAAACCCTCACCCTGAACCCATCCCTAACCACATCTCTAAGCCTAGCCTTAAACGCTCGCCCTAAACCCATCCCTAACCACATATCTAA